GTAAAAGAGAAGAGAACTAACTATAGCCTCTGAATAAGGAAAAAATTTGATAATTTAAAACGGTTGATAGAAAATTACTTAAATAATTTGATAATTTAAAACGGTAGATAGAAAATTATTTATCAGATCGGCTTATCTTGGGCCACTCGAGAAATCTCAAAGATGGATAAACTGAAAGTTCTGAGTAGAAATAAATTTTGCTTCAGATTTAGGAAGCAAAACAAAAGCCATTTTTAATGCATTTTATATCACTAACTATCCACGAATTGAATTTTCTTGAAGTTTGATACATTAGAAAAAATTATTTTTCAGTTTAACTCCAGTACAGTATAGTGGCATCAAGCAGTGACAGTAAATATATGGTACTTCCAAAGGAAGGGAAATTTTTATTAGTCGAAAGGGACTTAGTCTCTGAGGCGGAGTTTAAATTGCGCCGGAGCCCATAGGTTGCCGGCTCCGGTACTTCTTAGTTTTGGGGTTAAATCATAATTCAAGCGAGTGCACCGGAGTTCTAAATAAGAAGAGTCTGGCAGTTCTTAATGTAACTGAACAACAGTTTGAGCAGAAATTAGATCTCGAAAGTTTTATTTTTAATAATAAAATTATATTAAAAATTGATCCTCATTTCTAAATGCATGCCTCTCTTTCTTTGACACACAAACCCTTGAATGGAGGTGGAAACTTTTAAGGGAAGAAAAACTCTCACCCATATGTCAAAGGCTTATTCTGCATAAAGTATAATGATTTTATGACAGCGCGTAAATTTTTTATTCCGACGCTAGTGTCTCCCCGCGGAAAAGTGCATCTGCAGTCTTTTTGGAAGACGGAAACTTCTTTCTTGCGACATTTTTCTTAGCTAGCCCTCGGATTCGGGGAAAATTTGTTCTCACTTTTTTGCTTAACAGCTAGAATTATATTGACAAGACATCATGGTCAGAAAATGCTAGACTCTTCTCTCTTTGGTTTCATACATATATACCCTCAGTTAAAATTTTCCCTATACTCTGTTACTTTTTATAGCATTCTCTTTAGTCTCATTAGTGATGCTTTAACCATTTTAACGTTTTTTATTGGTGTCTCTTTAAAAAAAAAAAAAAAAAAGTCTTTATATCATCAATTGAAGTAGTACATTACATTCAGAGATTAAACTCAACCGGGGACTGGTACAGCTATTTTTTAGTTTTGTGTGAAATTGTAATTCCAGCCGCAACCCTAAATGAGTCAAGGTCCAGTACTTTGTTTTATCATTTAACCATTTACCATTTATTTAATAACTTATTGAATTTTCATTTGTCTCTTCACATTTTGTTAAATTTCAATTTTTTATTATATATGCATTCTAATCATTAATTATTCAATTTTTTAATTATCAATCACTTTATCATTTTATCAGTCATTTTGTTTATTCTTGTTCCTCTTTTCTGATGATATTCCATAGGCTCTGGCAATTCTAAATTTAGAAATTAAGCCCTGCCCTGAGGGACTATTGTTTTCGTTTTGCGATTTTGCGTCGAATCAGTCTGAATGTCCTTTTCACTTTTCAAACTGTTGCCACCAAATATTATGGCCCTGTATTATGTTTGTAGAAATTAAATAATGAAGAATTTGCATAAATGTTTCTCGTATTGCGATGAAACAAAGGTACCTAGAGCCATCAAATTTTGAATGACGTAATCCTACTACGAATATGGGCGTCTGGAAGCCCAAATTTGAAATTTGGAATTTGTTTTTTTATCGGTTACATATTTTGTAAAACATTAACGAATTTTTGATTAACAAACTCAAGGATTTCAAAGAAAGCAATGGCAACGTTGTACAGAAAAAACATTTTTATCTCCAGCGGAGACTGTGTATCGGAAAATACTTAAGATATGCTCAATTAAAAATTATTTTGCGAGATTGCTCTTCAACTGAATTTTATTGTTTAGGTGAGAAGAACACGATACTTAATAAATAAAGGTAGCACACCCCTTTAGGTTAAAAAAAACGCCCCTTTGGAGGTAATTTAAAACCTGAAACCTTTTGGGTTTTCTTTTTTAATCTATTTTTTTTTTCCTTGCAGTATAAAAACTATCGTAATATCCCATGACAAAACATAAAGTAAAATATTTTATTCTCATGTTCAACTACATTCAGGAAATTCAGTTAACCTCAATGAATTGGATTTCAGCAGTAATGTTTGCAATTTTTGTTTTTTTATTCTGCTTGCCTACCTATGCGAAAGTATGTTTTCCTAATAAATATAGCCCTTTTTTATTTCTTTTTTTTTTTTTTTTACTCTTACGTACATCACGCTCTCAAAATATTTGTACTTGAAATAGACTACCACTGAGTGTGTATTTTTTTCCAAGGTTATATATATTCTACCTACTACTATAATATATATAATTTTTTTCCTAAACAGTATTGATTAATTGATTATATTATCTCCTAAGTTAAATTAAAGTAGAATTATTTTAAAAGAGTGAATCCATACTGGTAAGTTATATTTTGAAAGATGTTTTGAAGTAACTTGAAAGTAATATGTTAATAATGTTTTAACGGGGACTGGAATTAAATAATTATGAGGAACAAAATTACAATTGTAAAAGGAAAAATTAAATTAGAAGCATGTAATCATTGTTATTGATCGGAAATTAGTTGACTTTTCAAGGGGACTTAGGAGGACTTAACTTAGGACTTAAACTTAGGAGATAATATAATCAATTAATCAATATTGTTTAGGAAATATATATATATATATATATTTTTTACGTGGTTACTGATACCTATAATTTTCACCCTTCTTACCATTATAAAAAAAGTTACCATACACAGCTATATCCCTCTATCCCATTTCATCCTTCTATCAGTTACAACATTTTTCATATTCTGTTGTTCGGTCCACTAGCGGCCGAGCGGTAAAATCGCTAAACACTGGTAGTTCGGTCCGAGGTTTGAATCCCGCGAAAGGGCTGGCTGCATGGGCGTTTTCGTGGTTTTACTCATGTGTAACGCGTATACGAGCCAGTTTCCATAAGAAAGTCCTCCACGAAGGCACCCCTCCCCTTAGGCAGATAGCCCTAGTGTGCTTTGCCGTATTCTCAATACACCACCACCATGTTCTGTAGTTCATCTTTCAGGTGATTTTTTCTTGCATCAATAGGATTATCGCTGGGCGATTCTTTTAATATCCTGTCTTTGATTTTAATTCTTGAGGAATTTATATCACATCATATTAATGAGGCTATTTAGTTATAAAAATGAATTTTCTTGAAGCTTTTCACATTCAAAACCATTTATCTTTTTTAGTTTAATTCTGATCTTGTTCTTCCAAAAGTTTTCAAAATTCTATTGCCATGGCTTGTTTCATTGCCTTTTCCCTCGACAGGTGGCGTTACATTCATTTCATCTTTGCTCCGCAATTGATTTCCATACAAAATGTTTGTCGCTCCTCCCACTTTTGCAAATTTGTTTTCCGCTCCTGAAGTTAAGGACCATGTCCGGTTGCTCTCGAAAGTCTATAGAATATTACTCGGAATGTACGCCAGTCTAAAGTTTTTTTTTTTTTTTTTTTCCTAATTTTACAGTTTTATTCATTTTATGTAACTATAAGTATTTACCATTGCTAGATAAGTCGAAACGCTGCATCAGTTTATATATTTGTACTTGAAATAGACTACCACTGACTTTTTTTTTTTTTCCAAGGTTATATATATTCCAAGGTTATATATAGTTAGGCGTTTTTGGCCTCCCAGGTCGTAAGAGCTAATCTCTTATATTAGTTTTCTTCTGGGTTTCTCAAAAATACTGTATAGAAACCGCTACTATCCCTTATATTGCTAGAAATTAGATAACAAATTATGCAGTGAAATATTTCATAATTGCTGCGCGAATGGAACTGATGTAGTACGGAACTGAATACCATTTTAGCATGTTCTTGGAAAATGCGCGCACACATAATAGCTAACATAGAAAACTTTTTTTCTCTTTTGTAATTTTTACAAAACCGAGAATTTTACAATTCGCAATCAAATGTAATGTGATTAATATCACAGAGAACTCTTAAGGAGATGCTGTCTCAGAGTGAAAGAAAATTTCATAGACTTAATAAGTTTTCAAATTATTATACGCTATAAAGACATTGGATCTGTTGACCACCAGAACAGCATCTGCTTATAATTAAGCATGCACGTGTTTACGTTAATAATGAATGGAAAATACATCAACTCATCGTTCTCATATGCCCTTTCAAGTATAGATGATGAAAAGTGTCCAAATTTCCAGAAGTTTGATTTTTAAAAAAATGATGAATGAAATCTTTGAAATAAACATAGATCTTCAATATTAGAATTATTTTCTAAGCAATAATTCATTACATTCAAAATTCCCGCCGTTACACATTACATATAAAATACTTTTCATATATTCACTTTATCAAATATGTAGATCTTCTCTAAGACGATCGACCATCTGTGGTTCCAAAAGATTTTGATGTTCTGTGAAATGTGTTAAATTTAGACGAGACCTTCAATACTGATGTTTATTCATGCTAGCAGAATTAATGGTCATTAGAAACGGTAATCGTAGGCAGCTAATCGTTATAAGAGCGTCCCCTGCATATTATTACGTGTTTCATGTAACCCGATTTATTACTACATTTTTGTTCTATTGTAGTTCCACCAAATTTCTTCATTTCGTACTATTTTTACAGCAAAGTCATTTTTAAAGTAAAGCCGTTTAATCATCCCAATAATTTATTCAAAATAAGCTACTCTAAAGCCATCATTGGGTTTCGGAACTTTTTTCTTAAGTAAACAGAAAGCAAGAAGTCGTTTATACCTTGAAGTTATCATTCTGCAAAAATAGACCTTCTGAGGATACGTTAGAAATGGCAGTTTTTCTTAACCGGATATTTGATTCACTTTGTAAAAACAGCAAAAGCCACTGTTAAGAGAGAAGAAGACAGAGAGCTGCGTTGAAAGCGTGATATTAACAAAGAGCGCTCGATTTATACTTACGAAAGCGGTGATTGTTCTGTACTGAGTGATCCAAACCACGCACCCATGCGGGAAAAGAGGTCGTGTGGATGATTTCCTCTGTAGATTTCTCTCTGACAGACGTCTCCACCAAAAGTTTCGAGTCAACTATTGACAAAAATATGAATAACTGAATAATTCAAGTTATAAACAAACTGCACAAAACTCACGATACATGCTTTGATACCTACTTCGAACACAATAAATCATATTATCATAAACAACATATGAAAAACAAGGAAAAAATTAGCATATACAATGACGTCTACAAGGAAATATTAAAAAACAAGAATACTACTACTACTAATGCTAATAATAATAATAATAACAAATACTCATTTTTCGCAAAGAAAAATATATTGTTCTCTTGTTCAATGGTGGTTTCATTGATTTCCTCCGTTGCATTCGGTGTTGGCTGTTATTTCTTCGAAATTTTCTCTTCATCTCTATCTTATACACAACGCCAATATAGCAAAGTCTACAGTACGCATGGCCGAACTGCAGTTCACTATGTAACAAAAATTACTTTTATTTAGCATCATCCCGACTTGAAAACAAAAATCGTGCTTTGACACGGTTTTTTCAACAATCAGTAACTTCATTTTTTTAAATTACATTACATAGTTTTTAATTTTGTTACTTATATCCCAAGCTCTTAAATAGAAATTACCAAAGTTTCAGAATGCGCCAAGTTCTGCCAACTACGCAGCTTCAGTTCTTTAGTTTCAATTCTTCAGTTTTAACAACAAACATCGCCATTTTCGAATGTATACTTTTTGTTGCATTCGAAGTTCTCATGGATTTTTATTAGACAAATCGTAAAATGTTTTTATCTTCAATTTTAAAATACATACTTGTGAGATCTCTCTATTGTGCAAGAAACTGTGATAACATTTCTGCAGAAAAATAGTATTTTTCAGCAAAATTTCTAAAAGGACAATTGCTTTCAATCGCTCCTCAAAACAATTGCGGTGAAATTTCCATTAAGTTTAAAAAAAATCAAAAACTCGATTGTAAGTGTACTTATTGATTATATTTAATTTGTATATATTTTTTAAAGACAATTATAAGTCATCATTCTTTTCTTCCGTAAAATTTGCTAAATTGCGCCGATGTGGTTGCGTTAAGTATGTAAGTACCTCAGTTTTAAACGATTTCAAACCATCTGCGATTTACTACCATGGCGACGAAACTTCCACCAGATTACAGGCCCACCAGCGGCCGAGCGGTAACGTCGCTGAACACTGGTAGTTCGGTCCGTGGTTCGAACCCCGCGAACGGGCTGGCTGCATGGGCGTTTTCGTGGTTTTCCCCATGTGTAACGTGTATACGAGCCAGTTTCCCTTAGAAAGTCCTTCACGGAGGCATCCATCCCCTTAGGCAGATAGCTTTTGTGTCCTTTGCCATAATTAAATACACACCACCAGATTACAGATAGGTAAGTGCTAAGAACAGGTAAATGCTATCATGACAGCAGAAAAGATAACTTAGGAACATTATTCGTTAATGATTTTCACTCAGTCCACAAAAAAGCGGGAGCGAATAGTTATACTTTATCTCTCGTTCTACTGTGCCGATTCATAAAATTTATCTTGCAGTTTTCATGTCTCGAAAGCGCGACTTAAGATATTAGATTTTTACATAGTAGCGTTGTTTAACAGACACAAACTGGATTTTCCTGAATGGTATGCCATTTTTTTTTCCATATTTCGATTTCTGAAATTTACTTATGTACAGTTTTGATTTGAATCGGAAAGAAATCGTAGGAAATAAAAAGAAAAATGTTCAGTTTTCTGTCTGAATATAGAATGTTCATCGTACAAATGTTTTATATTTGTATGACGCAGAAATACTTCCCCGGCTAAAGTTTACAAACATCAAGAATTATTTGCTTATATTTTTACTAAATAGCCGCATTAGTTCGTAATATTACTTTATATAAACTACCAATTGTTTAATTAGTTGCAATATCAAATTCTTACTCAATTCTTTTTAATCAGAAACTGTTTTAATATTTTAAAAATGGTTTAAATGTCTAATTGCAGTTCTTCAGTTTTTCTCTTTTCTAATATAGGGCTCATATTGACATGAAATTTGGACACTCTAAGTATATAGTAAGATCAGTAGATAAACAAGGTAAACTTTCATTTCAAGTTACACTTCACAAGGCACAAATTCGCTTCAAGCCGCACCTCATAGAGTACACTTTCTTTTTAACTTCAAGGTACACTTCACAAAGTGCACTTTCACAACAATACTTTCAAGGTCAAACCTTTCTACTTTAGACGTTCGGAGGCACTGATGTAGCTTAGATACTGACGTAACTTATCTATCTGCTCAGTGACGTCACTTTACTCAAAAGTGGAAGAAACCTTTCTAAGCAGGACGTCGACGTCACCACGCTGGTCGACCTTGGTCGAGAAGAGACCTTTTACTGTAGTGACCTTGGTATACAGCAGAGGGAGGGGATTTCATACTTTCATGGAGGAATGCAAGCATCCTTTTACTGACCTCTTAAGTATTTAGTTTATGAATATAAAAATCTACTATTATTCAGGTTTTTGTATTTATCAACATTTCCTATACTTTTTCTTGTTTAATTTATAATACACATTTAAAAATAATCAATTTAGATAAATGTATATGTATTTCTTTAGTATTGGAAAGGAGGAGAGGAGGAATGGTTTATTTGGTTTATTTTGATCGTGGCGAAGTACTCCAGGGCAGCCGTCATCAACCCCTAGAATTTCACGGATCACTACATACATATATAATTTTATATTTAGCGGACTACTAACATGAATTTAAGAAAAAGAAACCCTTAAATCAGACCTTAAAAACAACACACTAACACACAAAAACAATATTCAACTTTACAATAGATGTAATTCTAATTTCCATTTGTTAATATAATTTTCGAAACATTTGGTGATCAGCAGCATGCCTTTATGGAAATTCAAGCTACGCCCCTGATTATGACTAACAATTAAACACTATTAACGTCTCACTGATACACATATTTCGTTCACATTGAAAAATTATATGAAAAGTACAAAACATCTTACCTTCTTGTATAGAAGATCACTGAAAAGGAACTTCACGAAAAGCAAGAACAAACCGGCAAGAGTAAGGCAATATCTATCAACTGAAACTGTTATACTGCCAATTTTTAATTATTGTAAACATAATAATCATCGCTTACTCAGCAATGGGGCCATCCATCAACAGTTCGACAAACAAAAACGGAAACTTCCAGTGATGCAAATATAAACAAGAATGCAGATGGTTCTCATAAAAAATCCATCAATATGCCTATTGACACGGAGAAAAACTGTGTTATTCAACGACCAATGTTAGCATATGTTTGTAATTCAAAAGGAAAGAAAATTCCCTTTCGCGCTATTTTTGGTAATAGCAGCATATCCGTGGATACCAACTCTCACTTTCAAAATGTCGCTAGATACACCAGCAAAAGTAGCTAAAAGGTCGATAAATTCATTGAAGGAATTTTGCTAAAAGTAGTAGCTAAAAATTTAAAAAAAGTATAATCCATATTCCACAATAGGGTTTGTTACTCGTCATTTTTTAAACTGAATCTTCATAAAAAATATAAATAATGTCCCAATTTTTCTGCGGATCATCAAAACGTTTTCACGGACCACCGGTTGGCGACCGCTGCTTCAGAGATATCTGCCTAAAGGAAGGGATGCCTTCGTGGTGGACTTCTAAGGAAAAAGCTCATTATACACGTTATGCATGGCAAAAAACACGAAAACACCCATGAAGCCACAGCTCGTTCGCCGGGATTCGAACCCGAACCGAAGTACCAGTGTTCAGCGACCGCTCAACCGCTGGGGTGTGAGGGGCGGAGGAGAAATGATAAAGGCCTGCATGGGACAAAAAAGATTGAGACCCACTGGTATCTTAATCTTTCGTGTATTTTCTTTTTATTGTGCGTTTTATTTTTAAGTTGATTTGTGTGGTTGTTAGGATCAAAACTTTAATTTTTCAGCTTCTTCCCACAAATAATTTTCTTTAAAGGTTTTATACACACACATATTTTCGATGTCAATTCAAAACTCTACAGCAATCGAAATTCGATGTGTCCTCTCGCCACATACGCACACGCAGATGCCGCGTTGTACGAATTTATACTAATTATACGGCTGGCTTTTTCCTTGTCAGAAGGAAACACCAAACTTCCGGTGTGTCGCTACAGATGTGTTCCGATGTGTCGCGTATGAAAATAAGTATTTCTAAAACCAAATTTTGATACATAATGCTACTAATAGACTTACCGCAACTGTAGGTTACTTTCAAGTACTTCCTGCCTGCACAGTTAGGATTTCCAAAAGTATCTATATCTGCTGTTATAGAGCATTCTTCACGTCTAGAGCAAAGGCGCATTACGGTCTCCGTAGCGTAACTAACAAGACAATCTATTGAGGATAAAAAAAATGTTTTGTACAATTTTTTACAGAAATTTTTAGGAATTTTTAATCACATTTATATTGCAGAATTCTATACATAAAAAGGTCTGATATGGACACCACACGACTTCCTTGTAGAGTCTCTTAATTTATACACATTTTTTTGCTGCAACAATAAACTGATATTAAATATTGTTAGCTATTTATTGTTAAATTAACTACGTGGATAAAATTCTATACGTAGTCAGATTTCATTATTTACCAAAAATAATTTTTTTTTTTCTAAACTTGAGCTTGCCAAAACATGAATATTTTCCTCATTTAAAACACTTCTGTAACTAGAGGTATATGACTGTCTACGACCGATGATTGATTTCGAAAATAAAGGGTGGGTAGGTACTTTTAAACCGGGTAAGAGAGTCGATATATACATGCGTTTAATACAGCCAATTGTAATAGAAAAAAGAGGTTATAGCAGACGGCTAATCATTTTCAAATTATGCAAGGTACGCACGTGTACGGATGTCACGAAAAAAATCCCTTGTGAATCCATTTTACAATCCGTTTTGGAAAAAAAGAGTCCTTTATTCTATGTGTACGTAGAAAAGTATGCAAATAATTGTCCAAATGGATTCGGGAACGGTCAAATGGATATTTCCGTTGAAATATGATACCGAAAATTTTTCGTGATTGAATACTTCTTTTACTTCGTACAAAGAAGTAAAATATAAAAAAAATACTATTCTCAAAAGTTATTCGAAGTTTTCTATTTCGTATGTTTATTTCCCCCTTTACATTTCAGAACTTAAAGCAATCACAGTGTTCAACGGCTAAATTAACTTTACTCAAGTTTATCTTAGTTACGTGTTAATATTCGTTTGCTAGGTATTCTTGTTTAATGTACCTGAAAACAATCCGATAAAAGTCAGAAACAACACAGCAAATATATATAAAAGTTACTTGCACTAATTACGTCGGGATAATTTCGAATAGTAATTTCCTTTCGGATAACTCACGCTTAGGCTAGTTTTTACAAAAAACACATGCGGTTCATTTTTGCACATATCATTTTGAACAATGATGTTACTTTGGAATACTGTTCAGAGTAAAATTAAACTTTTGTGGCAGGACTCGCAGCAAACTTGACAAATTTTGTTCAACCGTCATGTATGGCAAAATGCGTTATTATCACAGAATAAAAATGAAAAAAAAAGTTTAGAACTTACTGCAAGACTATTTAGTTTACTGAAATCTTTGATGCTTCCGTTTTTTACACCTTACTCACTTAAAAATAGTATTTTAGGACAGCGCAAATTTTAATTTATATAATCCATTTACCTTCAAAATCATCTTCAGGACACACATGTAAAAATTCACCATTTTGAATGTATATAATGCGATCACTTCTTTTAAAATCTTCTTTTACTTTTCGAGTAATAAAGAAATGAAAAGAAAATTATTTAAAAATTGGAAATGATTGCTTTTTGAACTTACAAATCCAGTAACAGTTCATGTCACTGTAACTATAAGTAACTTCATTCCACTTAACGAAGGTTAAACGCTTTTTAGTTATGAAGAGTTTTACGATATATCCGTAGTATACCATCGCTTAACTGGTGGCCACATTCAGGTTACAAAGTTAGAAACTTATATGAACAGCTTCTAAAATTCTGGCATTTAATAGGAAGTATCCCAATATGTTGTTTGCCACAAGATCAGTGGAAAACAGTAATATGGATGCAAAAGATCCTCGCAACCAATCCGCTGAAGCTTATATCGTTACAATAGAGTTAACATATAAGTGAGTAAGTATAACATATTTGTGAGTGACTACTTTGAATGATTACTTCAATACTTGTTAACATGAGAAACATCCTTTCTTTCTTATGAAATAAAAGATTAATTTTTACCATAATTAAGATGTCATTTTTACCACAGTAAGAGTTATTATGACTTAAATGTCAAATCTTTTATACCGTCTGTGAAAACATTTGAGCTATCTTTTGCTACGCATCAGCTAATCAGCACATTTGGCGCTTTCTTTAGCAAAATCACACTGTAACAAACTTTGTATACACGCAAGTAATTTTAGAGGCATTACATAAGAATCGTAGTAACTCTTACATAATGTAAGATAAAATACCCCGAGAATGCACCGTCGGAAAAATAAAACTACAGGGACAGGTCTATTTAACATTGCGGTAAAAGGCTATATTGTCATTTTGGCGAGATAGTGCTAAACTGGATATAGTTTTGAAAACTAATTTTTGTCGCCAAATTGTTTCAAAAATTAACCAAAGTCGCCAAACTTGGCGACCACTTGGCGACATTTCGGTCTGGTTCCTGTATAATTGTAATTAGCCCAATAACTATGTAACCTCAATTGTATTCGGCCGTATATAACTGTGACTGTGTATGCCTTCCAGCAATTTCCAGAAGTCGAAGGTACTGGGCAATTCTCGGAGGCCTAAGGAAAACTATATAAAATCGGAGAAAGCATCAGTTCCCAGGTTTTTAGTTGTGAGTTGAGTTCGGATTTTTGAGAGATCTCCGTGCGAGCTTCGCTCTTCAGATACGCTTTGCACTGCCTTGAGGTTAACGTTCTTAGTGGCTTGAAGTGGTAAGCTGTGCTGTAAGAATACTTTTATGAAATGTTTCGGAGCTATAAAGTGTCTCGCTTGGGACAATAAATTTTATCAAGCTACCATCGGTTCTGGGTGCATTCAATCAATTTCGAACGTAAAAATTACCTTTTTACAAACAACTTACATTTCTTGATTTTGTCGGAAATGACATTTTTTTCACTTTTTAGGTTTTGGCATATGGAATTTTCCAACAAAATTAGAAATATTATCGGAAGAATTTAGTATGTAGTAGGGATCATCTAGCACTTTACATAAAAATCACTAGATATCAAAACTGAATAAACCTAACCACATAAGTAAATCTTCAGCATCTGATAGAAAAATGCATTCTTGAATTTCACGGCTGGATAAATTTAATTCCTTCCTGGAACTTAATAATGAAAGACGCGTCAGAAACAAAGACATTTTTCAAACAAGAATACATGACATTCTTTTGCTGTGTATTGATTCAGTGATAATCTCTACAGTCGGCAGTTGACTTGAGATGAAGCGGTGGGCCATGGAATACCATACTGCAGCGATACAGTTGTTTATTAATACAATCAGCAGAATTAACAAAACTTGGTAAACTAAGCGCTCATCACAGCGTTAAGGCGACAGTTTAATCTGGAATTTCTGCAAATGATTTCATTGGGGGCCGTATTTCTTTGAAAATATAATAGGAGATAATTACTGCAAATATTCGACTGCGCACAGTCGCTTGAAACGCTTAAGATGCCGTAAGTTCTCTTAACCCTAGTAACGGTTTCAGAGCAACTGCCAGCAGAGCCAGAATCTCTAGTTCACTGATAATCGTGTCATAGAGATATCACCATAAACATCATAGCAACATACTGCATGTGTTTCAATATTATATACTTAGAACAGAAAATATACATACCTTCACCTTTGATAGGGTCTATCCTAGGACATTCGAGAATATCGGCTTTGGATGTACCGAATGTTGCTGAATAAATTACTATACTCTGCATAGGGCACTTTAAAAATATTCGCTGACCTTCACATACTACTTTATTTCTAAAGTTTTCTGCAAAGGAGAAAAAGAAAATGTTTATTAGAATAAGATATTTAACGAAACGCCTACAATGGTTAAAAAATAAGGAAGTACAAAAATTCATACTGGAAAACAGTATCTAATATTTCTATTCCTGAAGCGTAATTCGATTATTAGTACAGAGGTGTTTACATATATTTAGAGTGATTTCGAGGCCGTTTAATTAACGTTTAAAATGGAAAGCATATTTTTGTAAATGTTCGATCTGATAGCCATCGTGATTTTCATGATTTAAAAAAAAAAAAGTTTTTGTAAACCATAGGTGACGTCAGGGCACTTCGCAGGAATACAAAACCAGTACAAGTCTTCATTTTGTCAAGGAATGCAGTGATATATTTCGAAGTACGACCTGTTGTTGCTTTGTCATGATTAAGTTTCAGTCTGTGAAAGCCATTAGCATACAAAATGGAATTTTTTCTGAAAATATCGGATGTTAAAATTTCTTTGGTTAATACGTTGAGTTGATTTTAACATTTTTTTCCCTCTGATGCTCCCTCTTTGTCCTCTCTTGATGCTCCCTCTTTTTAGAGGAAACTGAAACTCTAAAAAGAAACCTATCTGATGCTGGTAAAGTTTTCTTCCATCCAAATCTATATTTGGATACTTATTGGGTATTATCTCCAGTGGAAAACTTCACTTGGCTTCAAGGTAAATTTACCGATAATTTAGATATTAGTGACTTCGCTTGCTCGTTGAAGAATCGTGATTACGTTTCACCATCTATTTACGTTAAAACAGTTTCTTTCCATCATCGCCTTTTGTCTAAGGCCCCATCTGCATGTGAAGTTCTGAACGACTTTTAGCAGAGAATGCTGTTTGCAGCTTCAACTCTCATACTTATCAGGATCGAACTCATATCCTCTTTGTCCGTAGAGTAGTATTTTGTTGATCGAACTTAAGCTTTCGTTTCATTATCAAAAAGTTGGTTTTATTCGATAAAAGCGATGTCGTTGAGTAAAATTTTTATCAGATCTATCAACAAGCAACTCAATAGAAAAATTTTCCGAAAAAATATAAGAAATGTCCCAGAAGTAAACAAGAAGAGCTCCCACTGATTGGTTCCTCTCCATTCCTTCCTACTCCATGCAGAGCTGGAAGCATAATTTGTTCCAAGAGTGTTAAAATACTGCGGCTAAGAACGCCGCATTCGACAATCTACACATGCACATGATTGCTGAGCGCAACTGTTGTGACTAAATACCTCCCTCCTCTTCAAACAAATGCTAAGGGAAATGCGTTTCTGGTAAAAGTTCCTTATTCCACTGCACGTCGCTAGATGTCATCCAGTAGAACGGTGCCCTAACACCAGGGTACCTGGGTTCTGAGATCCTACCCCTTGTAGAACAAAAAGAAATTTTCGAATCTTGATAAATAACCTGAGTACTATCCACGAACGAGAAAATGAGAAAATAAATTACGATGAAAGCATTAACTTGCATGAAGGAATTACTCACAGGTCATCTGCGTAATTGTCTGTATAGTTTGGAGCAAATCACGAAGTTTCTCAGCTAGGTTGATATTTCGAAGAAAGCTAAATATTTCAAAGAAGACTTTAAACAGTTCCAGAATATCCGGGCTAACAAACCGAGATAGAAGTCCTTCCATGATATTTGGCGACGTTGCAGGCTTACTTCTCAACTTTTCACTGTAGCTGGCTTTGCTCGTAGTTCTGCTCCGCCTAAGATCTGTCGGTGTCAACTCAGGAAAATTTTCTTGGGTGACATCTGGGGGTGGTTTCCTCTGGGTTCTGAGCTGTCCTCCTTTTTCAAACCTCTTCTTATATTCCGCTCAACCACGGAAACTGCTTACATGCTCCCCTTGGCAAAATATACAGCACGGCTTTTCTTCAGATCTTTTCAAACATGTGTTACTCCTGTGCAGCCCTCCGCACTTCACGCATCTTTCCGGATTATTGCATAGATGCCGTTGCACAGGCCTTTTCTTCGGGTTGTAATTTCTCAACAGGTATGTCGAAAAGACGTTGTTCAGCTGGAAGATCTGGTTCCCTTCGGTGTTTCTCTTGAGTTCAACAAAAAATATGGGCAGTTTGGCTTAACTCCGTTTTTGCTACTTTCAAACTGCTTTACCTTGACAGTAGGAAATTTTCTACTTCTCAAATCTCTAAGAATATAGAGTCTTTCTTGATAGAAACAAGGAGTCCCTTCAGAATCACTCTTATGTTCCTTTCGTGACGTGGTTGGTACGTATGAAATGCAGTATTCCTTCCCTTGAGAAGTTTCATCATAGTTTGGCAATCCATATGGCTTTTCACATAAACATGAATGGCCCTCGACTTGAACTCGATTCATATCCATCTGGGCAGTTTTGGGTAAAGAGTTCATCGATCTTCAGCCAATCAGGCGTATCGCACGAGAACACAATGGGCGAGGGCGTTTCCATTTCAGTAGCTCCGCCTTCCTCATTAGCATCTTTTTCTCCAAGCTGCTTGAAGGGATTTATTTTCATGCCTAATTTCCATGGCAGCCTCTTTTTCCGGGGATTTTCCCGTTTTCCTTGGAATTTTCCACTCGCTATCTGGGTTCTCATTATCCACCTGGCTCTCTGTCTCTTTGTGGTCATCATCATCTCGCTTGAGTTTCTTAGTATTTTGAATGCTCTGTGGAATCGTTGCTTGTTCGCCTCGTCCTGGTTTCATAAGTCCCACAAGGTGATCCCTTCCATGCTTTCTAATACTTTCCATCAGATAATCCATTTTTTCCTGTTCAATTGGACCAGAACTGTATTTCTTATCATCCGTGCAAGACTTGACTTTCTTCTTTTTTTCTTTCGTAACAAAATCCTCTACATTCCATTTCGTCGGTTGAGATTTCATCGATATTCTTGACCTGTCCGTATCCATTCCTTCGTCATCCGTAGAGTCAGCCAGTGTCCTGTAAAAGGATATAATGCTGTACCCTAGAGTACCTAAATCACAACTAGAAATAGCAGTAAAAAAAAATAAAACACCTCGCCGTCCGCCTAACTATAGACTTGGACAGCTCCTGCACACATCACTCCTCAAGAGAATGAATATGAGAATCGCTAGATGTGATAAGGACATTATTCTCACGTAAATACAAACATTTTGAAGAAAATTGTTCCACTCTATGACAATTTTATAAGCACTTGTGAATCATAATGCAGTAGATAAATCATAAGCCTGTTGTAACTATGACTGGTTTCTTTTCAAAGAACTTCCTATTTACATTTTCTCATTATATGTCAGCTCTTTCAAATGCTGCACTTCGGAAACACGTTTTCTTAATGGTAAAGTCGCTGAACATTGGTAATTTAGTCTGGGACTGGAACTGCGGCGAATGGGCTGATTGCATGGACATTTTCGTGGTTTTCTCTATGTGTAACGTGCATACGAGACAGTTTTTCTTAGAAAGTCCTTCACGAAGGCATCACTCCCTAAAATTTTAAATGTTACAGAACAACAATAGCCAAACATTTTTCTGTAACAAGGTAATGTACCAGCGTTGCCTACAGGCAGCTATTAAATTAAATTTGTTGCTCTTATCTCTCATAAGCCCTTCCCCCACTCTGGCCTAGTGATTATGATTACTGAAAAGTGGTAATTCGACTCAAACTGAATTCCCCATATGTAACGCAGATATGAAATAGTTTCCCTAAGAAAGTCCCCCATAAAGGCAATCGCGTCCGTTGCTATACTCAAATAACCCAAAGCAAACCGTCTGTCATAACACTGCTCTTGTTTCCAAAGTAAGTATCGGCAATAAAAAAGTTTGTTTCTTTTATTAATCTATTAAAATAACTAATCTAAAAGATACATATCTTATACTCAGAAAATTTTTACTGCAGTCGAAATAAGCCAGTGAAAGTAACTTTTTCTGACTGAAAATTTGGTTTCTTATTTGCTTTCATTTGATTGTGGCGAAGCACTCCAGGGTTATCTGCCTAAATAGAGGGATAGCCTTCGAGCTGGACTTTCTAGAGAAAACTGGCTCGTTACATACATATGGGAAAATATACATACGTTGCACACAGGAAAAAACATGAAAACGCCCATGTAGCCAGCTCGTTCGTCGGGATTCGAACCCCGGACCTAACTACTAGTATTCGGCGACGTGACCGTTCGGCCGCTGGTAGTCCCTCTGAATGGAAGTTTTAAGTTTCAGAATATATCTTTCTAGTGAAAATTGTCTGGCGCTTGTTGTCCCATAACGGAAAATATCATGATTTTTTTGCTGTTAACTGAAAAGATAAGATGCAACATAAAAATGAGTATTTTATAGACTGAGAATATTCACTGTTGCATAATTAATTAATTATATATAATAATTAAGCATAATTTAATAATAACTTTTATTAAATGTTAAGCATCTTTTCCGTTATACAGCATCATGCGCTACTCAGTTTTCTATTAAAACGTACAAGTGCCAACTTTGATACTGCTCGTTGAAAAAACATACTTTTGTCATCATCTCTTTTCGATTACAGCGAAATTTATCTTATCATAAGAAATATATCTTGTGCTTTATAAATTTGGTGTGTTTTATACGTAGCATAGAGAAGAATTATACTTGCCTCCCTTTTGTTCTGTTATAGGTGTTCTTATACCTATCTATCTGTTTCTTAGATTAATTATTTTAATAAACAACGAACAAAATAAAATTACACATAGTAAAGCGCTCCATTAACAACATTTACTCTGAAAACAAGCACATTATTAACACATACAAGAACAACAGAATTTAATTTAACTGTGGTCGATAGTCAATATTAGATATTAATATATCTTTTTATAGGAATTAATCTAATAATAAAAGAACAGATTCAAGGTTTTTTTAGCATTATTGATTTAATACTTGAATTTATTGTTATGGAGAGGAATTAGAAAATTATTATATTATCTTCTGCGAAGTATTGGCGAATTTAAGATTTCACTTCTAATAAGATATCGCTAAGGCAATAATTTTATCAATGAATTAAAAAATGAATTTCGCGAAGTTTTCGCAGCCTAGGATTTACTCTAACAATTTCATCTAAAACTTCGTAACTGCGGATTTAGCATTTCAAGAGCGGAGGAATTCCACCAGTTGCGAAGATGTTACACAACTAAGTACTGATAATTTAAAACGCATTGTATTTATAACACACTTCTAAAACCGAAACTTATGTTTCATCGACTCCCTGCCAAAAGCATGAATCTGAAATATGCTATTTCCAGAAATGTAGTTAAAAGGTTTAGAATGTACTTGATTTACAGAAAACCTGAAATATGACGCAATAATTCTAATATATAATAATTCTAATATATATCTCATAGAATACTACACCTGTTTCTCAATTCATTTTTGAATGTATTTTCTGTGCAAATGAGACACACATAATAGAAAAATAACATAAAAATATAAGTAAATGTAAGCAATAAAAAGGTGATATTTATGGTTTAGGCGCTATGCCGATAATTTATGAAGCAGTTATGCAATCAGCGCTTTTTTTTCGCCCACCCCCATAACGTCCGACCAAACGGCAGTGTTACACAAGGTTCACGGAAACCGGAAGTGTCATGAACAGAACGAGTTCTGGACGTCCGAGCACGAAGAAGCAGATGTGGATGCGGATGCAGATCTTTCGTTTTTGGCCTCAGCTTCTAAGAGCTTTCGCCAATCTTTCGAGTAATCCATAGGCAGTTCGCTTTGGTAGAAAAAAGTAAGGTGTACCATGTCTACACCTATCGCTCGGGGCGTAAATGCAGTTAGACTGTAGTCAGGCAATTCTGGTCGCTAGAAGTGGCCGAAGGATCGATGCCGAGCAGAAAATCAGGTCCAAGGGAGAAGTTTGAAGGAGCACGGTATATAACCCGTGAAATTTTTCATAAAATTTCATCTGCCCATAAATCAAATTTCATCTGCATTATGGGCGTCGCTTTACACAGATTAAAGCCCAGACCTCCGGATATTTATTTGTACTAAATAAAAAAAAAAAGTTTTACATGGGCATACAGAGCCGTTTTTCTTTACAGAGTTATGAGTTACATTGTTCTGCTTTGGTCATAATGAAACTTCTTGACATGACATGCATAACACTTCAGACATACTTTTATATGCTAAATATTTCAGAAACACTTGGTAAATTTTAGAACATTGGAGACTGTTTACAGCACATGAAACATTACATTTTAGAACATTGTAGACTTTTTTACAGCACATGACACATTTGATACATCAAGTATTGTGAAATGTATCAAATGTGTCATGTGCTGTAAAAAGTCTCCAATGTTCTAAAATTTACCAAGTGTTTCTGAAATATTAACATGTAAAAGTATAAAGTTAGTCTGAAGTGTTATCCATGTCATGTCAAGAAGAATCATTAGGACCAAAACAGAACAATGTAACTCATAACTCTGTAAAGAAAAACGGCTCTGTATGCCCATGTAAAACTTTTTTTTTTTTTTTTTGATTTAGTAAAAATAAATATCCGGAGGTCTGGTCATTATTCTGTGTAAGGCAGTAAGGCAGTCCCACAACTGTCAGGCAACGGAGCTCAGTGACTCTGGCCTTCAGCTGAGTTCTTTCATTCTGAATTTTTACAATGCATTGAATAATTACCTGCATGAGATTTAAGATGTTTTCGTCAAACAACCAGTTTGCTGAATTCTTTAGAGCTGTGGGTAATTTCGTGAGATTGCAATTTTTGGGTTCCTTCAATTTCTTACTATAAGGAATCCTTCTGTTCCGAACTAATTTTCTTCTCGGTAGTCTTCACAGGCTCGGGAAATCATCTATGCTGGGTGGAGGTGGGTGACTTTCTTTTAGATTTTCTTTCCATCTTCGAGAATTTTTTCTGATATTTCTTACAGCTTCTATAACTACTTACGTGGTCTTCACCACAGAAAATATAAGTCGGCTTTTCCTCTGGCTTCTTATTGCATTCGCTTGTTCTGTGCGGTTCACCGCATTAACAGCAACGGATCGGATTAGATCATAGATGTTGTGTATGGCCGAAGCCCTGACAAAGGTAGCATTGAGTTGGCCTTTTCCTCGGAGAGTATTTTTCATTGCGAATATTTATGCTGAATATATTATTTAAATCAAAGATCGCATTTCCGACCATATTCCTTTTCAACTCCAAAAAGAAAATTGGAAGTTTCTCGATTTCACTTCTTCTAGTCCGTGAGAATTGCTTCACCTTAATGATTGGGTACTTGCGTCTTTCAAGGTCCTCGTAAATCGCAGCTTCAGTGATGGTTTCTGGTAGGTCCTTCAATATTGCTCGAACATTCTTCTCACTTGACAGTTGATACGTGTGGAATGGGATTTTACCTATTTCAAGCCTTTTCGTAACTCGTCTGTAGTCATCTACTGATTTCTTTCGGAATCTATAGAATTTGATTTCATGGAAACTTCATGTCCTGATCTTGCAAAAATTCCGATAATTACATTTAATTGCAGCCAATTAATATCTTTAAGTGGATTTACAATTGGTGGGGGCGTCTCCGTTGAGGAAGCTTCTCCTTCATCTTCTGCTCCGCCTACTTCTAAGCCTTGAAAGCGGTTTCCATAAGTAACATCCATCGGAACCGGAGTTTCCTTAGGTTTTGCAGATGTGGAAAGGGTGCAATAGGCTTTTATTCGGAGCCTAACCAAACCAATTCGTGAAGCGTCTCGACAGTTGCAGCTAGCAGCGTCAACTGGCAACCTGATATCTCACTGCAGCAGGATGCCCTCATCATTGGACCACGATCGTTACAACAGCTTTGGACAACACATTTCCAGGTCGCTGGACTGGTCGAGGAAGGCCCATTGCCTGTCCCCCGAAGTCTCCACCCATAGGGTCTTGCATTGACGCAGCATTTGAACACGTTACGGAGGACATGCTAGGCCGGACGTGGGGGGGGAACTGAAATATAGCTTAGATATCCTGTGTGCTACAGATGGCGCACACATTGAACTCTGTTAAACTGCTACTAAAACTTTAGGTGTGTGTTAATATTATGCCGCAAACCTTTCTATCTATACCATTTCTGACTTATACGCGATCAAAGCTAGAAAGATCATTTTGCATATTTAATGGGTTTTATTATACTGCAGATATAAATTTCTTTAGCGTGTTTTGAAATAACAGAAAAGAGTTTGTTCAACATTGAAACTTTTATCTGTACTCATAGACATCAGAGGCCAAACATTCGAGGAAAAAAAATTTTTTTTTCTCCTATACTCTAAAAAGCTCTAATAAAAACTGAAAGCTAATTTAAGGTTTAAAGTTACAGTTCAGAGCCTAAATGAGGTTTAGCTGCATACTTTTAACATAAAGTCTAATGAAAGTTAGTATATTAGGGTCACTTAAATACGAATAATATTCCGGCAAATGTACCTGAAATTAATTGAAAACAAAAAAACTGGGGGGGGGAATTCGAAAATTATCGGGCATTGGAGGAAAATTTTGATATCAAAATTTCAAAAATTCCCCAAAATTTGCGCCGCAATAAACTCACTGGGCTAGTCAATCGTAAACATAAAATATAATACCTGGTTTGCATTTGTACGCTACTTCAGCATACTTCCGTATGCCTGGACAAGGATCTTCGAAAAATATTTGAGGTGATATCTGGAAATGGCACTCCATAGCTCCCCGGCATCTCGCTTCGATTGTCTATGAAGGTATAAAAAAAATCCCATCAGTTAATTCTGAAGAAAACGCAATTCTTAAGAGAATTTCATTACTAAAAGTATAAGTAAACATGCATTATTCACGTGAACATATTTTAAGAAACTTTTTTGATTAACTTTTTGATTCGGAAAAAACATCAATAAGCACTTATAGATGTTATATAAGGAAACTGAAACACATGGTAAATATAGCAATTCCAAATTTCAAACCAGCTCATGCACTTTTGGTTGGAAACCCTGAATTTTATCATATTCAAGCTCGTATCCGTATACCTAAAAAAGTTAAGAACTTCCTCCTAACCGGAATAACTGCCGAGAAGTTTTCTAAAAAGTATGGTATTAGTATCAACAACAGTTTTGCCGAAAACATGAAACAATTATTACTCAAGTTTGCAGAACAATACATTGTCCTGAACTCAATCATTTCTCGAAACAACCATCCGTTTGAAGCTTTACAAGGTTAATAGCTACTGTTAGGCAGAGCTCCTGACAACCAGCACCCATGCTAAACAATGTTTCGTGTCCTGAAAGCAAAATTTACAATTTTTTCCATAAGTTTAAATTTTTTCCACGTCTAAATGAATAAAAATGAAGAAAGCTCTGTCAGAGGAATTTCGGGACTCTCCCTTGTCTGATTAAATGTCTACCAGCGGCCTAAGCGGTAAAATCACTGAATACTAGCAGTTCGATTCGGGGTTCGAGGCAAGCGGACTGGCTGCATGGGCGTTTTCGTGGTTTTCCCAACGTGTAACGGGCCCACCAGCGGCAGAGCGGTAAAATCGCTGAACATTTGTAGTTCTGACTTGTGTTCGATGGCAGCATGGGTCTTTTCATGATTTTCCCCATGTGTAATGTGATCCAGTTTCCCTTAGAATGTCCTCCACGAAGGAATCTCTCCACTTACGCAAATAGCCCTAGTGTGCTTTGCCATAATATACCAAACCAACCCATGTGTAACGTGTGCACGAGCCAAACAGTGGCTATTAACCTTGTGAATAGAAACGAGCCAGTTTAGAGAAGAAGGAAAACGAGCCAGTTTTCCTCAGAAAGTTCTCCAAGAAGTGATCCTTCCCCTTAGTAGATAAATCTTGAGTGCTTTGCCATAGTTAAATAAAACCAAAAACTTGCCCGGAGCACAGAGGTGGACTATGACAATTTCAATTGAAATTTCAAGCTAATCTTTGGCGATGCAAACTGTTCTTGGTGACCACATCACTTTCAAGATCTATTGGTGAACTGTTCACACAATTTTTCAAATTTTGAATCGTGAATGAAGTGAAATATATTACGATGAAAATGCACCGGTTCACATTGTTGGTGACAGAGTAAATTGAACAAATAAGTATGAGCTTGAGCATGTTGCACATCCTGCAAAAGCCTCTGATCTTAACACCACTGAATGTGGATGGAGTATTGCTAGAGGAAAACAGAACTGATAAACGTTTTTTTCCTAATCAACCGGTGAAATAATCACTGTTTCTAAAGAGCAAAAATACTTTTAATGTTAAAAAGTACTTGTATTTGTTCTTTTCAACAAGAATTGCTACAGCTCTTAAAAAGCGCTCTCTAGACCGTGTTAACAAAATATTACATTAACAGATGCTGCTGTTTCAATTTCGTTGTCCTACCTCTGTAAAATCATCGTTACGAAATCATCAAGAAAACTTCTTAGATTACCTACGAAAGGGTTTGTTACGAAATGAATGTACAAGTCCGATGAAAAATGAACAAAATTTGTTATTATCACACACACACACACACACACACAAAAAAAAAAAAAAAAGCTTAAATCTCCTCAGATATTCGTGCAGTATATTTCACAGTCGTTATCTTTTAACTAATCAAACGTTCAAGAGAACTTAATTCAAAACAGCTAAAGAAAGCTAATCCGTGAATTCGCTACAGTCAACAAGAGCAGTTTTCTAAACTAACTCTTAAAACAACAACAAACAAACTAAAATCATCGAATTGAAATCGAAATCGAGTGAATGGTTAGGCGGCATTTAGTAGCCTATGCTACTTTAACCGACTGTGTTGGAGATATGCCCTAAGGCGTTGGGAAGAATTAAAAATTAAGGTGATTTACACCGCACCGGCAAAGGTGAAGCAGGAACATGTGCTAATGCACGTGAGTTGGTCAAGTAGACTTTGGAGAAGGAGGGTTCAAGCATCTGGCCGCCGTACAAGCTGTGATGTATCTTTACTAGTTGAAGAAAGATGATACGTCGAGGCCAGTCACGTGGGTGATCACCCACCCAAGTACTGACCCTGAGCTCTGCTGCTGTAAACAGGGGAACCTGTGTGTTAAATAGTGAAAAGAAATCGTAAACATAGTCAAATTCCCTCAAATGCTTCTAAGCTGGTGATTGATTACTCTTCACTTTCAGCAAATCTCATCAGTGTCATGGCTGCTTTGAACCCGGCAGTAAACTTCTCAGCCGTGGTTTTTGCAGAGCGGATCTTCTCAACGTGCTCAACCATACTGTTCAGAAATTTTTTGATTTTAGGATCTTGGATCCAGTTTATGATATCCTTGTACTCTGTGGGTGGGTTTTCCCAATTTTTTTTTTACTCTATCACTGTTAGAGAGGTTTTCATCTGGGTTTTACTGCTGTCTTCCTATGTTTCGATGAATTTCGGAAAATCTGCCGGCGTAGGGATCTTAGCTGCTGGCTTCGCCTGCTGCTTCTTTGCTTCATATCGCTTCTTGTACACGGGGCAACCCCTGTATGAACTTACATGCGGTAGTGAGCAGAAGATGCACTTAGGTTTTTTCTTCTGGCTTTAGAGGGCATTCTTTACTTCTATGGCGCTGTCCGCACTTGCAGCATTCGCTCAGGATTTGAGCAAAGATGTTGCGAATGTCCATATTCTTGACATCTATAGCATTGATTACGCGTTTTTCGGGGCAAACTTCTCGATCTTGACATTAACACTTAACATATTCTTGAGTCCATGAATTGCACGTCCTTCCTTCGTTTTCTTCAGCTCCAACAGGAAAATCGGAAGTTTCTCGATAGCGTCTCCTCTTCGTCTGGAAAACTGCTTGACTTTACTTATTGGTAATTTCCTTCTCTCCAGATCTGCCTGGATTAGTTCTTCCTTCATCGTCGATGGACGGCCCTTAAGAACAACCTTAATAGGTTTTTCGCTGAGTAACTGGAAAGTATGAAATGGTATATTTCTTTTCTGCAAAACAGAGTTGCTTTTCTGTAATCGTCTACTGACTTTAAATTAACATATAGTAGTTTCATTTTCATATCGGCTCCGAATTCTTCACTGCAGGTATTGATAAGGATTTCATGAATTTTAGGCCAATCCACTTCGCTTTGCTGGAAAATTATTGGGGGTGGAGTTTCCTCTTTTTCGGCTCCTCCTTCTTCTTCCATACCTTCTACTGCACTTAGCTACTCAAATCGATTTTCCGTCGTAACTTCCATTGGAGCTTCGTTTTCTGATACTTTCGCGGTTTTCTTAGGAGAAATCCATTCTTGTTCCCTGCTGTCTGTTCCTCTTTCAGTTATCTGCCCTGGATAAAATTTTTCGTGAATGTCTCTACTCCATCTCACCCTTAGTTCTTTTATGAAAGTAATTGCAAATTACGTCAAATCCAAATTTCGCAATCTGGTCCCGGATTTCTTCTTCAGAACATGACTTGAATTTTGGGATGTCCTCATCATTTCCCATTGATAAATCTTCTGGTGTCTGTTCATCAGTAGCTTCTCCATTCGTTTTTGAATGTCTCTTTTTTCCTTACAGGTTAACATCTTTCTTCTTACTTGGTTGTTCGCTTTCCGTATCTGACATAGTTTTCGCCTTTTTCGCTTTACTTTTCTTTTCTTTGGCCATAAGAATGAAATCCTCTTTCTTCAATGGATAGGTCTTGTTGGTTTTGGACGAACGCTCGCTTCGGTAGTCCTCTTCATCAGAACTATCGAGTGGTGTCCTATAAAAGGACATTTTTGTTTTTCGATTTCGCAAATTAATGACTTATTTATAGACACAAAAATTTTTGACAACAGCGTACTACAAACTGAGATGTTTTCCTCCTTTTTATAAGATTTTAAATCGTGCGCGAGAACTTTCTGGAACTTCTTCGAAATCAAAAGGAGATATTTATTAAATGTTAAATGCACGTGCTCTTGTATTTTTAATTTTCCAGCTTAGCTTTCCTTAAATATTCATCACGCGCTACACTGCACGGGGAATAAAACAGTATAATTTATAATTCAACTAGCATTAGCTATTTAAATACCAAATCCGTAACAATATAATTAAAATCATTCGTAATATAGCTTTTTAAAGCAGCTTCTTCGATTACTTATAAAACGACATTAAAAGCCAATAAAAATATAATTTTCTTTGCTATTTAAACTCTTCTTGGACATTGCAAGAATTACAACAAAGAAAATTAAGTATTTTAATGTAATTAATTATCTATTGTTGAAGCATAGTGCAGTTTCGACTCCATTATGCTCGTATTTGTTTTTCGTTGAACTTTTATATTATTTAAGAGTTTTAGTTTATTATGGCTCTTCAAGCTTCAGCAATGAGACATAATGAGTGTTACATAAATTTTCATCAATTGATCGTTGTCGCGGGTTGTTTAAAAGCAGGTAAATGTGCATACCTTCAAGTAGAAAATAAAGGTACCATGATTTTGCCGAAATAATTTTTTTGTTTTGTTTGGAGCATTCATAAATTCGAATTTCACAGATACGGAAACGAAGGTAATGTGATCACCTCCGCAAAAGACGTAAAGCTTCTGAAACTAAGGATGGTCGTGTAAGTAAAATATTATAGCATTTAATTTCATGGCTTTCCTCGAAAAGTTTCAGTTTCAAAGGTAACATAGAACTATAAATCATATTAAAGATAATAGTTGTTAATTTCAGTATAGATTTTCAGAATAACTTTTGGGTATCAGACCTTCGGGGCACTATCTAAGTGGCATGTCTTAGCATTTTCTGTGTTGATACCCGGACAAAGATGTCCAGATTTCTCTTGTCTTCCGTAACGTACGAAATTGATACTGATGATGGTGTTGTTGGGACAAGTGAGATGAAGGTCTTCGCCATCGCATGCATGGGCTTGAAAGGTACTTAAAGTCCCGTACAACAGACCTATGTGAAAGAGAGATCATACTTAGTGAAATAAAGTATTTTAATATATTAAAGCACTTATACAAGAAAATGTAACTGTTAATTGGTTATTTTATGAGCAATTGAGAAGACATATGCAAACTTTCTGTTAATTCGATTCCTAAATATCGACATAATAAGATGTTATTAAACTAGTTTAAGCTTTATAAGTGTTAATACATAATTAAAGCTATTATTTAAAATAACGAATATTTTGCGAAGAAAAGCAGAAATTTGTTTGACAGTTTGTACAAACGACTGAATGAAAAACAAAGTGACTGACAACAAAACTGATTGGCGAAACATACGACTGAATTCTAGTAATTTCCAGCTGAGATAGATCATTGTCAATCTCTTTGAACCTTTAATTAATGAACCCTTCTAAACCATTTTCCTCCTTCCATTTATTGAAAATTTTGTAATAATTTTTTATTGCATTCCGGAATTCTTGCTATGGCATATGTCCATATCAGTTACACAAATACTGCTTGTAACAAGTTGAACAATGTTGTACAACTGAATTCTAATATATACACGTTACGGAATTTCAATGTTTGGGGGAAAAAAAACTTATAGGAAAATGCTAATACGTTTACTATCTTTCAAACATACCCTCAAATAAAACTTAAATAGGAGTAATATTGCGAATAATTGCATTTAGAAGGATCTTGAAAGACTGAAGTTGTTTAAATTATTTAGAAATCTTTCTGAACCATCGAAAATATGAGATACCATATGAGAAATAATAATAATAATCAGCAGATTTTTACCTTTTTGTTAGTTTAAAAATAATGTTTCCGAAATGTGAGGATTTATTTTCTAGCACGTGAGATAGTTATTTAAAAATCATCAAAGAAAACGATTCTTCAATCATCGGAAATTTATTATAAAAATAAGGCTAAATTAGTTTTAATTGGAATCCAATTAAAAGTAATTTTGTAGTAATTTACCGGTGTTTCTGTCTTCAAAAAGATTCACTTAAAATGTAAAATTAATAAGTAAATAATATAATAGACGTTTTATTAAAAATGTACGAAAACAAACTTCTTAACATTATGACTCCTGTTGTTTAAACTATGCCAATAATGTCGATAAATTGCCAATGTATATCACACACCATCGCCAAATGTCTAGTAATCCTAACCACAGTCATTGACGCTCGTCACGAAAAGAGCTCTGATTAGGCTACGTCTTATCTGGGTCCCTGAATTTACCATGGACGGTTAGTAGACAGAACATTTAGCCCACAAGATGATTAGTCGACAGCACATTTAGCCGAAAACACGTTTTATATTGACAATACGTACATGTAAACAGAAAGCGTGCGATAATGTCCAAATTTGTCCATGTTCATCTGATAAAAGACTGCTTCCAAGGTACACATTGGGAAGATTTATGAACAAGTACCACATTTTTGTTTTGCCTATTTAATGCTAGAGAGACTACAGATTTTAAAATTAGGCAGAAAAACAACCTTTATTTTAACGCAGATTTTGAAATCAATTTCGAGAGTAATCAGACATAGGTGTATCTTGGAAGAAGGAAAAGAAAATTTCAGCAATCGGAGGAGCAAAACGATTTTCTATGGTAAGCAATGAGAGGACGAAAACGAAAATAAATGTAACGTAATCTGTCGAGGAAAATAGTACTAAAACGTGAAAAAAAGTAAGATATTAGCATTTTGAAAGCGCAGAAAAATTAATGTCATTAATGACAGAAGAAAAGTGTTTTTTAATGTGAAAATTTCAAAGAAATACAATTTACTAGCTGAAGAAGCTCTAAGGATAAAATTTGTAGATCTTAGGTTAAAACTACGATTAAGTGCCACATATGATTAGCTATAAAAACTTTGCTTGTTTTCCTTTCAAACATATGATTCATGTTACATGACGAGAATTTTGTACCCAGTTAACAGTTTGGCCGATATATGTCAAACCGCGATGACTGACAGGCTGAAATTTCTTAAGAAATAAAATCAGAGATGGGATCTTTAAGAACTGAACAACGAAATTTACTGATAAGTGAGAAAATAACATCACAGTTGAACTTATGACGAATTCAAGTAATTCCGTAAATGATAGAAACATTACACAGTATTTTGTTAGGATTATTTTTAATTGCGAAATGCATTTTATGACGGCAAGAGGTATTTCTGAATTGCCTATCAAATATGGTTATACGCTATACTGACTTTTTTGTTTGTTTGTTTTTTGTTGTTATTTTGATGTATTTTTTAACATAAACCTGTTTTACAAAATGCAATTTTTCTTACTGTATCCTGAAGATTTATAATTATATGTGCAAGCTAAGAGTTAAAATAAATGTAATAATTATCAAACTTCAGCATCTGCAACGGATAAATTCATAACTGTGTAAATAAACTTTTTAAATCAAACTTGATTTTAAGACAAATAATTTAATCAAGCTTGTTAAATTTATAAAAGCAAGAATGAAATAAAATTATTAAATTTAGACAACTTGTATTTTTTAAACATATTTTTGGTTGTTTGAAGGCTGGTGACTACGAAATGGAGCTATTTGTTTTTATTAACAAATTACTCAAATAAAAATTTAGCAGCAAATTAAAATGAGAAGTTTTCTGTTAAACACCCATAAATATAATTTGAAATACTTCAGTGTTAAACATCCTATTTCATAGTATTGCTTAATAGTTTTTCTTCTAATACTGTGCATTATATTTTTCATTGATAGTATATGCCTTGTATTTCATTGAATTCATCACAGCCTCATATTTTATTACGAATTTTTATAACTTTTTACTAAAAACCTATTTAAGCAACGCCATATTAGGAACATTTCATTTCATCGTCTCAGAGGCATGTTTCGATTTAACAAACATGATCGCTGAAGTGTCTCGTACGCAAATGTGGAAAAATAACACTTCTCTGACTCCAACAGAACCAATATTTTATTCCTTACGAAGTTATACATACTTATTCATAAATTTATTTACATTTTACGTGCACGTTGAATCGCGTGATAGAAAACCGAACTTTGTTTACTTCGTTCTTCGTGGAGACTAGAAAGTGTTGCCACTCGGCTTTAACTAAATTAGAAACTTGACGGAACTGAAGCGACACTACAATCGCCATTTGCTAGCCAGGTTTAAACAGCCAATTTGACTTCTAATTATTCATATATTGATCCTAATTCTTGGTCTGGAATTGAAATTGTTTATCATAAATCTTTTTTATGTTCGTTTTCCTCTCTATGCAAAATCATGTCATTCTGTCAACTAAAAAATATCTTCTTTTTACCTTTACATATATATATCTACTTTTCAAAATTTGCTTTTCAGAATACTTGCTTTCTAAGAAACCAATTATTTAAAATCAATTTCTCTTGAGAGGGGATATTATTTGCAACGACAGTGATAAAGTCTTTTAAAGTGTTCTCTTTGCTATCATAAAATATATTCAGCTATCAGATTAATCCTAACAATCTTCTTTCAATACCATTTAATCCCTCTATGAGTTACAAAATTGCTCGAGTTCTCTACAAAATCAATTTTCCGTTATTTTTGCAACCGTCACTAAAACTCGCTATTCATTTCTTTAAGATCGCATTTATGGCTTTAATTTGTGTGGAATTTTAGCTTAACATTTCACAATGGTTTGACAATACCGGCCAAACTGAAAGAGCTTTGAAATTTTTAGTCAGGGAACATTAATAGGAAAAAGAATAAAGAGAAATAAACAAAATTTTGATAGCTAATCACAATTGGGCACTTAATCATAGATCATAATGGATCTACAATATGGATCTACATAATCATAATGGATCTACAAAAATTATCCGTAAATTTTCTTCTGTCAGTAAATAAGATTTCTTTGAAGCCTTTCGCATTAACAACAATTTTTATGCTTTAGTTAATGATATTAATTTTTTAACGATTTCACATTTCTAATATTCTAAAATTTTTTCCTAAGTTTCATTATTAATTTCCTCGACAGGTCATGTTACATTTGTTTTCGTTTTGCTTCGCTCATATCTTTCCATATAAAATCGTTTCGCTCCTCATGGAATGTCTATTTCTTTCTATGTCTGATTTCTCTCGAAACTGATTTCAAAATGTACGCCAAAATAAATTTTTTTGTCAAACTTAAGAATCTATACTCTCTTTGGCATTACATCATTAGTCAAAAACTTAGTACATGTAGCATCATTAGTCAAAAACGGAGTACATGTTCATGTCTTCTCGTTGTGTACCCTGAGAATAGCCTTTTGTCATGTAAATAATGACAAATTTCATTATTGTCGCATGTTTTTTGTCTACATGTACGCGTTGTCATCTATTTCTATACGTACTTAATATGCTTAAACATGCTGTCGGCTGCATGTCTTGTCGACTACATGTGCTTTGAGTTAAATGTCCCTGTCGGTAAATGTCCGTGTCGGCTGACTGTCCGAGCTCGAATGTTTTATCGGCTATGAGCCTCGTCGGCAATTTCTCTCCCCCCGCCAAAAAAAAGTGTTAACAACTTTTGTTTACCAAAGAATGAAGAAGATCCAAGAAACGGCGATCATTTCCGAAGATTTGAGACATTACGTTGGCTATTTTTAAATAATGTTATCTAACGGAATCCATAATGATAGAAAAGTATCAAAGAGATATATTTTGAATATAAAATACAAAATGACGCAATCCCCCCTATTTCTACTAAATTGCAACCTTACGAAGAATAACATTTTTCTTCCTTCAGCTTTTAATCATTTAAAATTCCTCAAGCTGAAGTTTAACAAAGAGCTATGGATAATAAAATCTGAAATAAACAAAGAGTCAAGATTGCCACTGAAGGCTTTAACCACACAAGTTGAGACCTCCATCCGATCTCATTAAATAAGCATTTTTGCGGTCATCGCTTACCAACTCTCAACTGGCCTATTTAGTGTATTATCTAAGCAAATAATAATTATCGAATCCTTCACCATCTGGGATGATGTAAGCAGATAAGC